ATACACGGGGGTTAGTTTAGCGTCTTACTCAAGATTTTAAAACGCAACCAACCCCCTTCGGGGGGTTGGTCAATTGTTTAAACCCCCCATTCGGGGAGGTTAGTTTAGTTTCTTACTCAGGGGTTAAAACATTTGAATAAGACACTAAACTAACTCCCCTTCGGGACTAACCAAGGTTGGTTGCGTTTTACAAACTTGACCAAAGGAGCGCCCTGCTCTAGTTTATAAAAATGATTATATTTACAATCTACCTAAGTTAAACTATTAATTATTAACTAATATTTTCGTTAAGAAAAAATAATATAAAAGAACATTTATGAATTTTTTCTTCATATGTAATAGAAAGGTATAGTTCGATAGATGAAATTTTGAACTCTGTTATAATGACATCAAGCTGCTCATCATAAGCCAATTGATACAATACAGTGAATACGCAGAGACATTCGAACTAGAATATAATAGTGACATACCACTCGTATTGATGGGCGATTTTAACACTAGTGACAACAATTTAGAACTCTTACGTGCATACCTTCAGAAATTCTTTGAACTTGAACTAGTGAATGATTTGGACAAACCAACCACGCAAGGGAAAACTTGTATAGATTTGACATTTGCAAGAGGTATTCAAATAATTTCAAAGCCATATGTATCCTACTTCTCATACCACTACCCTGTATTCAATAAATGTAAGTTGCAAATTAATTAAACGATTCAAAACAAAAATTTTGTTTAATTTCAATATACTATACACGATTGACGTTTTCACGAAAATAACTGCCGCAGTGTCCGACACTGCCTATCAATTTTTTTCTCTTCACTGAAGAGAAGTGCTCTTGCCCCTTTTTGGTTTGGTCAGTCTGTAAACCGGTAAACTTGGATAGCTCAGTCAGTAGCAGGACTGGTTATATGAACAACTAGGGTCCAGTCAGAGAATATGAGATTTCAGGTTCTCATGAAGATTGCTGTTTTATGGGTTGTTGCATTATGTAATCTGGTTGAAGATTACCATCCAACCAGAACCTCTGAAACATTGGTAAACTTCTACCAGACTACATAATGCAACAACCCATAAGACAGCAATTATCAGTGGTAGAATATTTCTCTTTCCCACCACATCCAGACCAGATTTGGGGCCCATGTATCCTTCTTTTCAATTTGTAATGGAGTAAAGCAACTGGAGAGTGAGGCTGGCTGCTCATTTCTATATAGCACTGGGGCTAATAATGTATTAATCTTTACCTCACTTTTTGTACACATTTGTGGTAAGGTGCTTGGGCACAGAGACAACATTATTTTACCAGTTTCTTGCTGACTAAACTAACTAACTAGATGGCTGAAAGTTCATTACTGGATTAATCAAAGCCCTCCATCTGTCCCTGTCCTGGGCCAGCAAAATCCAATTGCCACCAGTCTCTTGCAGCGTTTTTATTAATTGTCTAGAACTGTCTTCACTTTATAATTTATTTAGTATATACAGAGGAAGACAAGTAGATAATCAGATGTTTGACAACTTTATTGTAAAATTCTTCTCTTGATGTGTGGTATGGGGTTAATCAGTTCCTACATTAAAAGTTATTGTAACAGACAAATGTATGAATAGGACTATTTTATAAACCTTCTTTCTGTATAGATTAACAAAATTAGGCTAAAATTTGTTGGAGTGTTTAGTGTGAACTCATGCATTCTCCATTTGTTGTGCAGTTGTACATATTTTGATGAAGAGTACATAGTTGTCTGCATACTGTGCTGATATAAATTTTTTTACTATAACTCAGACTGTCAGATGCAATGTTTTGTTATATTTGCCAGACTTCTTTTATTTACAGTATTTTTTACATCACAAGTATTTACTGTTGTGTTTTCTAACCTAAGATTTTAATTTTACTTCACTTCCACATTTTGTGAGTCTCATTATAATTAAATAATAGCTTAATTTAAAGATATTCTTCTTTGCTTAGTGTCACTCATTATCTAAAGTATAAAGAAGATATGATAGTATTTATCAAGGAGGGTTGCTTACAAACACAACATAGGGGAATTTGGAAGAAGTAACAGGAGGGAAATAAAACCAAATCAATGTTCATGGCACTAATTAAAATAATGTTTGACTTTATTTTCATGTGAACAAATATTTTAATATGTTTTTGAAGACGTACAACAATGTATTTTAATTATAATATTGGGTAAAAAGACATGATGTCAAAATATTGTAGGTGAAACATATCATGAAAATAAAACAAAATATTCTGTTTAGCAGATTAAATTATGGTATGTACTAGAAATACAGTGTTATGGTGAATGTAAAACATAACATTAATAAAAATATTTTGATATAAATGCCTGAGAAAATTGTCACAAAACTTGTGTATAGGGATATAACATTATCCAGTAAGTACGTTATTTTGACTTTAATCCAGTGTTATTTCACAGCCATCAAGCCATTCACTTAATGAGCTTCTGTTTTATTTTGCCTACTGTGTCTTTCAGATTATGGCATTACCATGTCCTTTCTCTTTCAGGATTACGAAGAACGTGAATCCTGCCTTACATGTGACAGTACTAGGTGAGACGTCGCCACATGGAATACATCACGATATTACAAAGGTTCCAGGAATCCACTACTTTCAGATGGTGAAAGATGTGTCACGCATTGGTACACAAGTTGGTAATGGAAATTGGTACCTATCCAGTGACTAGAAAACAGGTGTCTGATGCTGTTGCATTTCATTGTCTAATTAAAGTGAATATGGTTGTGTCCCACACATGAAGCACGTACTAATGTGGATTTGAGTCTTGTATAGAAATGTATCTTGTAAGAATGATATTCTGTGGTGTCTCAACTGAGAAATACATGTATGCAGTTTTGCATCCAGAATAAAATTTTAAGAATTATGGCCATTGTAATGAAAACTCAAACCTGCTAACCCAGTAAGGATTTACCAGCATACCTTTACCTTCTTTCCAACTTTTTTCATAGTAAAAACTTTATGAACATAGGAAATATGAGACTTCCAGTGTGGTTGGAGTGTTCATTATTATGTGGTACCCCTCAGCTAACCATCACACCATTGGGAGGACTAATATCTCTCTTTGGGGGCTACCACTATGGCCCTGACAGGTGAGTAGAGACCAGAAAGTTAAGATGGACATGACTGGAGATATTACAAAGAGATTTAGACATGAATAACATTTCCTAAACAGTATCAATTTTTAAGGAACTCTCATGTTTCTTGGATGCCTTAAACTGATTGATGAAAGTTATGTGAAAATTATAATACACATTTTCATTTGTATCCCAAAGATGGATCAAGTTTGTCAGAGACATTGAGTACTCATTATATGATGGTTTCAAAATTAAGCGTATGTCAATAATCTAAGGGTGGGTGGGGAATTTTGAAGGCTGAAGCGTAGTTGACCTTCTTACCAGCTAGGCTAATGTCACGCCGTTGTATTTACTTGTGAATCGCTCACAGGGCGCAGCATAATAGACACGGAGCTATGTCGCCTACTAATAGCATTGGAGTTACGCGTGTGTTTTAATCTGTGCTCGTGAGGCTTGTGTGAGTTCTTACTTTGCTCTGAAAAGTGATTTGTTCGGCGTAATTATTGTAGTGTGTATTCCATAAGTGCTTTTACATTATATGAAGTGTTGAATATTTTCATCTGTATGGGAACCTCTACTTCCAGAAGAATGGACGATAGTGATTCTCGATCACGATCGGATGATAGTTCTGATCAAGATTCTGACTTAGCTACCATCTTGCAATATCTTATACGAAGGTTGGTCGTTGGGGAATGGCGTTTCATTCCTTGACGTGTACATGTAGGTTTATTAAAGTTCGAAGTACAGCAGTGTAGAAACTGTTGCCACCTCGCTATGTTATATATGAGCCTGTTTAATCGGTAAATGGCAAATGTGTACGTTTCATTAATAAAATGGGAAAGATCAGTGGCAATGCTGTGTCAGTCACCATCTATAAAGCATAAAAGTACATAACTTGAAATATAGCAGTTATATTTTATGTGTAGTCGTGTAGTTATTGTTTCATATTTACAAACAACACTTCCGGCGCTAAATAGTGATGTAGAGGGCCAACATGGGCCTTTGGGAGGATTTCTCATCTCCCACAAAAAAGTTTTAAAAAGTAAATCCACACCATATTCAACTATATCACCATTTTTGAAATTATTTGCTGTGTAGAAGCAATTTAAAATTCTTTTAACAGTTCTTTTTTCAATAAATCTAAAAAATAGCAGGTACATAAGCTTGGTTAAGTAAATAATTGTTGCTACTGAGTAGAAACCTATTTGGAAAATGTGTAACTACAGGAGGAAGGTAATACATTGAAATTTTAATGGTTGGTTGTAGTCTCAGTGTAATAGATTTAGTTTGAAAAGGGCTTGGATGTCTGTATGCAATGCTTGAGAACAGTATCAAGTTTGAGCCAGACGAGGTTAATATTTGGGAACTTTACATGGTAGTTTTTAAGTAAAAACTGTTGGTAAATGTAACACTGTTCATCAATAGCACATGTAGTTTGTAATTTTGCAATAATTGGGAAGTCTCTATTTTTGCATTCTGTGAGCATGTTGAATTCAATTGCTTTTATATGTAACCAAATTGTTTAGCAAACGTTCTGTTTTAGTTATTTTAATATGTATTCTTTTCTTCCATAGCCTATCCACATGTTTTTTCCCATGATTTTTATTTCAGGGGAATAGAAATTTGTAAGTGACTGTTAACTCTCATGATGCCAGTACTAGAAATGTATAGTATTACTAAGTAATAAGAAAGTGTTTGGGTTTATTTTCAGGATATTTACATTTATCACATATTCCTGTTGGAATTTAAAGTTTAAATTATCCTAAAATTGATGATCTGGCTGAGTAAATGATATGAGTTTTTACACATGTCTGAACGTCTGTTTAATGGTTCCATAACCACAAAATGATAAAAATAGGAACTTGAAAATATTAATAAGCAGTATGTGTTACAAGCACTCTCACAAACCTATATAATAGGTTGGTTAGTTTAGGTTATTATGGATAATGCTGGTGTTTTATTATCTGGTAATATTTACAGTATTGAATCCAAAATACCTGTTGGTATATCTTTATGTTGCATTGCTGAGTTAGAGGTATATCTCTTTTTACAAGATGTGATATCTTTTCAGCATATACCAGCCCATATATGTATTTGTACTTGCATTTGAACAATCTTTTGTATTTCTACAGTGGGTTTGGTTGAGAAGCATAAATATGAAACAACTATTTATGTTAAGTTTGTTGGTAGTTGATCTTGAATGTGCTTGCTAGAAAATCTAGTACATGGACACTATAATTTAAGCTTGTCCACATCTGCTCTGTCATTTTACTTTAATTTAAAAGTTACTGTGTATTGCAGTTAAAAACACTTGTCACGTTCACTGCTACATCTGTTCCATGTTATGAAAATAAATTTAAACCTGATTGAGATGGAAATCATGCAAACATTTTAACTATAAAAAGTTACAAAACCATCTTTGAAATGACTGTAGATTTCAAAACTCCATAAAACCAAGAATAGCAGTTTAGAGTTTGAAGTAAAGATGTAGGTATAGATATGTGCAAACAACTTTGTATGTGGGTGACATCACACTTCTAGAAATTGGTAGCAATTCTACTAGTGATTCAAAACACATTTTATCTCTAGAAGTTAATTGCTTGAATAAAAAATATAATATTCTTTGTCAACAGGACATTCATGTAACTGACACTATGGGCTCGACTGCACAAGTTGACCAGAGATAAATTTTTTCAACATGGCATGGCCAAGATTTCTACCACATTCGTTACAAGCCATTTATAATGTTCACTCATGTACCATGTAGTTTGCTGATATATATAAAAATATATGTGTAGTATCAGTGTTTGAAATTAAACTCATAGCATTTCAGTATACTGGTTAAATATCCTTCTTCATATTTAGGGGTCTTTGATATATGACTTTGAATTTTGGTATCAGCATATTCACTACACTAATAATAGTATTCTTGTTCATCTCTCTGGTCAGTCAGAGCTGTATTTCTTAGCTAGTGGTCCACAGACTACTGCCATTCTGCAGCTTAATTTGTGGCAATCTGAAAATTCTGAACGCAGTTTCTAATTGTCTGTTATATGTACCTCATGCAACTTCTGTAGTTAACACAGTGTTGTTATTTGAACAAATGAATAAGGTACACTGAATTAGTATTTTCCAACCAGTGGTCTGCAGACTGGCAGCAGTCGACCACTTAGTTATGCTGCACCATAAATTGTAGTTTGCTTAATAAGTGAGCTGGTATCATTGCCTTTGCCTTTGCCTTTGCCTTTTTATAATGGTTCATTTCTAAATTGTCCATTTCAGATATATATCACTGTTACAACATCTAATACTGCTATTTTTGTAGAGCATCTAGGTATTATGTGAGTTAACTGTATGATTTATTAAAGTATGTGTTGGGAAAAATAATTTACTCTTCCAGCTAGTTTCTTCATAGAATACCTAGTTATTTCATGAAGTAACTATTTGAGGACAGTTTAAATGTAAAGTAATGAGGTTTTCAGTATGTATTTTATATATTAACTGAGGTTAGGTAAGATTAGAGTAATTAAAACTCACAGGAAATATTACAGAACAAGCAAAGTTAAAGTAATAAGCTAAGATTTTGTGAGCTAACATAACCTGATCTAATCTAATTTAATCTAATGTGGGCATTGTAGTCAGTATATTTTCACACTTTCCCTGACTAAAATGTAGAAACAATAACTTCATTCTACACATAATCTGCTCTTGATTAGTCATGGATTATCTATTTAAAGTATATAAATGTGGTCGATTTCATGAACTATCATGTTCAGTTAATGTATTAAATATCTAGGTATTCTGTGAAGTAATGGATTTCATACGCTTAAACAGTAACAGGTGAAGTGCAGTGCGTCTCTGTGCTGAATTTTATTATAATATAGGAAAAGCACACAGGTGTGCATAAGAAAGTTTTCCTGTATCTAGTTCATCCTAATCCTTGCTATATTCATTAATGGATTTGGTTCTGTTTTTACATTTTGTTATGTGGTATCTGTCGCATCGTTGATCATATAGTTCACACACACATTCGGGTCCTGGTTCGTGGTAGAGTTTCGTTTTACAAATCTTGTGGTGAATTTTATTATTGTGGCATGTAAAAGTATAATAAATTTGTGTGTCATGTAATTATATTTTGAATGAGTAAATTAACTCATTAAGGACCAATGGTAGCTACATGCTTTATAACTGCATTTTGCCCACAGAGAGTATTTGTGGGTTTCATATAATAGTGATTATTTTCTTAAACAGCAATAACCAACTGATCTTTGTAATGGAGTAGTGCTGTATTTTCTTTGTAGTATGGGCAACATTTTTAAATATTACAAAGGGTTAATGAATGGTGAGAATTTTTTATCTCAATATTTTCAGTGGTCAAGTCCACATTATTTCATCTGATCGAGATGACAGTGAAGATGAATTTGTGGCTGCTGCAAGTCCACCCAGGATGATGGATTTGCGGCCTAATACAAAAGAACTTGATGTAAGTATACATATTTTTATGTGATATCATTACTTACATACTTCTGCTATTGTTATGATGTTCTGCCCACGACTAAATAGCTGTGTATAAAAAGTGATGAGTAAATAAGCATCAAGTTTCTTAAAAAGAAAGTTTTTTGGAGTCTTATTGCTCACTGACTTATGGTCGGTTAACAATTTTCTCTAGTAGTCTTGTGTACTAAACATTATATACCACATCATAGTGATAAGGTGTATGTAATGCATATAATATGTCTTTCTGCCTACCTTTCTGTAATTCTTTACAGGGTATGAGTGACAGTTTATCAGACTTAAAAATTACAGTTTTATCTCAGCATCTTCACTAGTCTTCCAGCAAAAGATTCTATTAATATGAAAGTTCATTGTAGTAAGTGAGATTTGACAATGGGCTTTGAAGATTTGCAACAACTAATGAAGATTTACAGAGATTGTGCTTTTTTGTTGTAATAATTTTTTTTTCTTACAGAAAAGTGAGGTTAGCTTGGTCACTCAGCAAGCATGTGGCCTTGTACATTCCAGTGGACATGAACGTCCAAACTCCATTGCAGCAATGATTAATGCCAGGGAGGTATGACTTAGCATAAAAGAAATTTCAGGAAGATAAAAAAAAACATGTAATTTGACAGTTTAAACTAAGAGGGTCAAGGAATGGCCATTGGGTCAATATGTCCTCCAAGAGTCTGTGAGTAAAGACAGTGAAAATAATTGAAATCAAGGAGCAGTACAGTGGGATAGTTTCTCGTTATCAGTGTGTGTTTGGATTCAAAGGCTTTTCAGATTTTCTTGACACAAACCTTGTATTTTGTGTACTGGATTAGGCTATGGACATCCCTATTCTTAATGATGATTATAATATTAGCCCTAGGTTTTTAATATTCCTGAAGAAATAAATAATGTGTATTTCTGCCTTGACTATCAAACAGAGCGGTGCATGAAATGAGTCCCTATTTAAATTCTGCACAAATACTGTTGTAATCACTTAATGGTACAAGTCTGTGTGCATATAAAGGCACCAAGACATGGATATTTGTCTGTAGTGGAATATTGTTCATTATGATAACCATTTTGCTGTACAGTTTCAGAAATGAATGTGTATGTCTGTAAACACTTGATTGCACCTGTGTTTTGTGATCTCCTGCTAGGCCCAGCAAATGTAAAGAGCATCTTTTCAGTCCTCATTTCTTAAGCTTCCAAACAGTACTAGTAATGTGTTATCTGTACCAGAATGCACAAAGTTTCCACATGCTTTCTTTGCTCCTTTTGATTCTGAATGCTCTTTGCCAGCATACAGAAATGCACCCTATCACACATACTGTGCAGGCATTATGATAAGTATCATCCTCACAAGTATAGCAATCAATCATGGATGATGTAGAACTTACTTATCTTAATTCTTATATGAAAATGGAGCAAATTGCAGTCCATTTTAAGAAGGTTACTTTCCACAATTATAAATATTATTATAACTCAGATGCATGATCATATGTTTTAAACATTTTCTTTCTTATTTTCTGATTTGTTTGTTGATCAGAAACTGATTGTTGACAGAAAAATATAGTTCCAAATACTGGGCCTTGATTTTGTCTCTACACATATTATAATTAATTAATAAATGGAATGTGTAGCCTACAATGTATGTTAGTGTCTCTGCCTAGGGTGACTTCCTTGCTAACTGTCTGCTGTGTTTGCCTGACGTGTTTACGTTCACTAGATACTCATAATGAACAAAGTACAGTACCTTGTTCGTATGCCAGTCATAAAATGTGAAAGTGGGCAAGCATAAATATAAGGAGGTTGTAGAGAAAGGCCTGTGTTCCGTGTTTTAGATAGGGATGTTTGGCCGAAGTTCCTTCACCCGAGGAGATTGCTGTAAGATCACCAACAATTACATCCCTAACAAGATGAAGACTGTAGCTACATATCACAGTAAAGCTTTTTGTGGGACATATTCAAAAGATGGCAACTACTTTCTGAGCGCTTGTCAAGGTGAATAAAGTAATTTTGTAAAGCCATCAACTTCAATAACCAGTTTTGATTATGGATGGGTTGCATTGCTCTGTTTAGTTCTGTTAACAAACTCAGTATCTTATTGTGCTTTGTCAACAGTTTTTAGGGAATTATTTTCTTCACTGCCATTACGTGCTAATGACTCACTGTGAAGAGTGACCAATGCTCACGTGACTGTCGCGCAATGTTAGTGGGCTTTTAGGAAATTATCTCGCAACTACTTAGCAATGAGTACAGAGGTAAATTTATAATTTTTATTCAAAATCAGTGATGTAAGAATTACGATTTAGTATAAAAATCAGTATGAGAAACATTGTAAAACGTTATAAATAATAGTTTTTTAAACTTTTTGACTTACTGGTTTCAAGAGTGGCGTTATTCTGAATCGGCGCAAATCGAAGTTTACCCATACTTGTGAAGTACCAGGATTAAAATTGTAACTGACCAAGCCCCTAATTGGAAGATGCTGAGAAATACATTGTGTGTGTGTGTGTGTCTCCTACTAATTATTGACATATTTTAGAAACCTTAACTATACTGTCCTCATTCTTCAAACAAGTTAACCATGGGTCTCACATCCACACTTTGAGTATAGTTGAGTGCTGTGTTCAGTATGTTGGTTACTTGGTTACATGATGAAGTAATCAGACATTTCTTCACACTGATATGTACATGTAAATTTATTAATTAATTAATTTTCAGAATTATGTCAGCATCAGTTGCTTAAGATTTTTATCTTGTGCTCTACTCTTAGGAACCTAAAACAAGTTGAAAGAAAAATGAGCTTCTGTTACTGAGTATTAAACTTTATTCTCTGATGACATTATGGTTGAGCCATAATTATAATACTACCAGTTTTAAATCTAACATACTGTATGCTGTTTTTCTGTAGATCGTAACCTGAGATTGTATCATACTACTGAAGGCAAGTTTGAACTGTTCAGAACAATTCAAGCTCAAGATGTGGGTTGGAGTGTCCTGGATACAGCGTTTAGTCCAGATGGAAACTACATTGTTTACTCCAGCTGGTCCGAATGCCGTAAGTTTTGTCTATCTTGAATGATTAACTTCCAGTGAGTTTTGCTGTTTTCATTGTTACAGAGAAAGAATGAAGCAGGAAGTGATTTGACCAAGTAGGTCAGTGTATTGGTATATTCAAAAGGTGTCCCATCTCAATCTCAGGTACTAGCTAACAACCTACCATAGTTTATCATATTTTCCCTCAGCCTCCCCATGAAAATTTGAGGATAGCATCTTCAAATAATCCACAACTATCTTCTTACAATTCTTTATCTACTTACCATATATGATCATATGAAATAAACTAGACTCAATTGGGACCTGGCCAAAGTCTTTTTGAAGGTACCTTCCCAGCAACCACCTGGATTGAATGAGGATAACTGTGAAACTTTCGGCTGAAATAGCTGATGCAGTGGTTGAGATATGAATACAAGTTGGGTACTCCAGATTGTGACTGAGACATATTAGTGCCAAACCAGATACATATATTTCATAAAATCTGTGTGAAGATTAAGGATAGCCTGTATTTTGCCTTATGTATTTTGCAGTTCACCTCTGTCGACTGTATGGAGACTCAGAAAATCAGGATGCTCTTCCACTATGTCCTGAGGAACGACGCTTTTGTATCTTTTCATTAGTGTTTTCATCAGATGGGCGAGAAATTTTGGGGGGAGCCAATGATGGTTTTCTCTATGTGTATGATAGAGAATGCAACCAAAGAGCTTTAAGAGTAAGTGCGCATTGATATAATATCATGTTTGATCTTCTGGGTTGTAGCACCATGTTGTCTGGTAGAGGTCGACTAATGTTTCAGAGGTCTGTCTGTCATCAGCCTGATGATGGAAGCATCTCATACTATATGGCACCACAACCTAGAAGGTGGCCATCTAGTAACATTTTTGAGGGCACTCTTGAATTGAAATGCAAATATTTCTTACCAGTAGACCTATATTGTTGTTTTGTTCTCTCACAGATAGAGGGACATGATGATGATGTAAACACAGTTGCATTTGCTGACAGCACGTCACAGATTTTGTACAGCGGTGGAGATGATGGCTTATGCAAGGTACATGTGATTGTTGTGTTTCAATTTTTCCTCCTCCTTTCCCCCCACCCCAAAAAAAATCCTCACCAAGTATGAGGGCAGATGGTTTTATTTGACATAACATATGGAATCAATACATTTTACAGAATAGTTTGTGCTAGTGTCATGATGCGTTGTCTTGTTAGAAAAGTAGATAGTTACTCAGCTGGTGAGAAGAAATTAATTTTCTGCATTTAAGGAACCTGAAGTTCTGTTACTGTGTTCATAGAAGACAGTCATTGATCCCTGTCCTGTTCAGTCTAGCCTCCACCTTCACACAGCATTTTGTTATGAGTACATTTTGATATTATCCTTGCATCTGTGAAACTTGTTATTTAGGTATCAGTGTTGTATGTGAATGTGATGGATAGAAACTGCCATGTCATTGAAGAAAGTGCAAGTCACTGTGTAAGATATTTCATTTTTGAAGAAGTAGATACATTCCTTCTTCTGTGTAAAAGCTTCCATAGTGTTTGACAAATGATTGTAATGTGAATCATGATACTGTACAGTGTTTAAGTGAAGGGTGTAAGCAGAGTTTTACCTAATTTCTTGGTCCATGTAAAATAATTATTATTAAAAATGTATATACTGTACTAAAATGGTATCAGGTAGCACAATAAACAAATTATGCATACTCATTTTAGATGTTGTCTTCTTTGTTTTCACACTGTGCAGTCTTGTAGTCTGAAATGTTGGTATCCACATACAAGACTGTTCAGTGTCAGAAACCAAGACTGCAGATTAGATTTTCTCCATCACAATTACTATAAATACTGTAAACAATACTCTGTAACATGAACTGTCATAATATTGTTATTTCTATTGAATAATTTCAGGTGTGGGACAGGCGGACTCTGAGTGAGTTAAACCCAAAGCCTGTGGGTGTCCTTGCTGGCCACATGGATGGTGTAACATATATTGATCCTCGTGGAGATGGCCGTCACCTAATTTCCAATTGTAAAGACCAGAGTATAAAACTGTGGGATGTGCGAGTGTTTTCTGGGACAAGTGGTCAAAAAAACACCCGCAAGGCTGTTGCTGATCAGACGTGGGATTATCGGTGGCAAAAAGTACCTAAGAAGTGTGAGTTGAATTATTTTAAGATATTGTAATAAATTGGTGTTCTCCTTAGAAACAAAAACAGGAACTTCAATGAATTTTGGAATCCATATAATATTTTTTAAAATGTTTGCATCATTTCTATTTTTGTGCAGAGGAGATGAAAATTCAATTAGTCCAACTTCTAAATTATTTTAATTTTTTGATGAAATTGTTCTTTGTTAACTCTACGTATTGGGTCGACGTCTCGGGACGTTCTGGCATTTAAATCGAGGTCTACTGATCGGCATTCATTGATGTTCGGCTGTAAGCCTAATTTCAAAAGCCCATAAGTATGGAAAGAATAATGACTGATATATGATGTATGTAGTTGATCTGGTGTGGAAAAAATGCTCTTTCTGATCATGTAGTGGCAATGTCGCATTCTTGGATCTGTGATGGCTAGTCTGTGTATGAATGCGTGACCTAAGAGGTTACACAATCTTCCACTCAACACTGTGGTGTTTGTTTGTGGAGGGAAGATAATCATGCTGGCAAGTCTCAAATGACAGCGATAACTACTGCAGCGAAGGAGAGAGGAAAAAAAAATTATCTGAAACGGTCAAGGGGCTCCATAATACGAGGTGCGATCGCAAAGTTTCCGGACTGCGCCTATAATAATAAAAAAAAAG